GGGGGGGGCACAGGAGGAGGCAGATGCAGCCCAAGCGCGCTACGAGCAGCTCCTCAAGACAGGCTGGGATCTGGGTTAAGGATTTAGGGTTGTTCTATGCGTCGCATTTGCATTCTCTTCCGGGAACTCTTCCACCAGTGTTCAAAAGAATGACGATCGCGTAAACTTCACATTCAAGGAATAGGCAGTTGATCCTAGAGGATTGAAGCTTTAGGGTTTGGGACCGCTTTGCATCATTGAGCTTGTCACGCATGAGTCTCCACATGTCCTGGCAGTCTGCGGCACACGAAGCCGAAACCATCCGAAAAGCAATGCCGCAACGCCACAGGCAGCGCAGTGGACCAGCGCAAACGAGAAGCCGGAATCTCAGCAGGATGTTACCGCAGAACCTCTCAATAAAGTTGCCGCAGCCTTCGGATCCCAACAGCCCCTACAACAAGGCGAGCATCGCCATGCACTCATTTCCGGTCCGAGGCATCGTGCACACAGACCCACAGACCCACATCTGTGGAAGCATCTCTGAGTCTTTAAGTCCTCAACCCAAGCGCCGAAGCGAAAGGTCATTTCCGACAGATCATCGAAGCTAACGTGGCAGCACACGTCGAAGTCCCAGGATTGGTACGATCGTCTGGCTTGGTGGACCGACGTCAAGGCTCAATTTGTGCGTTTATGCGATAAACTCTGACTCTCACTCTTGGGGGGTCTCTGCTGGGGATCCATCACATGTGCCTTTGCATGCGAGGCATCGGGAGTCAAGATCACAGAACCTTCGGATCGCCATACTACCCGGCTCGACAGCCAGTAGCAACAGACGGTGCCGAGAGTCCTTGTTTCAGGTTGATTTTCTTCCCGCTCCGACCTCAAACATGTCGCGCGTCCTTCGAAGTGTTGTGGCTGCCGCATCTACGGTGGCAGTGGCAGCCGTGATTCGTGTTCCCCTCCAGAAGCGCGAGCTGAGCTTCGAGGAGACCCTGGACTCAGTGAACATGGGCGTCCAGAAGTGGGAGGCGNNCAAGGGCGACGACCCTGTGATCATCGACGACTACATGAATGCCCAGTACTTCGGTGAGATCGAGGTGGGCACACCTGGGCAGAAGGAGATGGTGGTCTTTGACACCGGCTCAGCCAACCTCTGGGTGCCCAACCACAAGCCTTTCCTGTCCAGCCACAACGTCTACGATCACTCCAAGTCCTCGACTTACAAGAAGAATGGCACAACCTTTGCGATCCAGTATGGCTCAGGCCCGGTCTCTGGTGTGTTCTCGGCGGACGATGTCGCGATTGGCGATCTGAAGCTGAAGGACTACACCTTCGCTGAGGTTGACAAGACAGGTGGCCTGGGAATCGGCTACATCCTCGGCAAGTTCGATGGCATCCTCGGCTTGGGACGGGATTCGATCTCGGTCGGGCACGTGAAGACCCCGATGAAGGCCCTTGTCGAGTCTGGCAAGCTCCCGAAGCCCATTTTCGCCTTCTACCTCGGCAACAACCAGCCGGGTGAGCTCCTCTTCGGCGACGTGGATCCCAAGCACTACAGCGGAGACTTCAGCTTCGTGCCTTTGTCTTCTACGACCTACTGGCAGATCAAGCTGGATGCTGTCAAGCTCGGCAGCGACACCGTGTCGAGCACGAAGAGTGCCATCGTGGATTCTGGCACCTCTCTGTTGGCCGGACCCAAAGACGATGTGGCCAAGATTGCTGCGAAGCTGGGTGCCAAGTCCATTTTGGGCAAGGA